AGAAAAGTGTTAAAAGCACATAAATATTACTGTACAATAAGAATAAAAGTATATAAAATCATATTAAAATACATACATTTACAGTAAATGTTAATATAATCATCATAAATCCTAGAGAACAAAATATGAAAACATCTGTGACTTTGTGTTGTCACCTTATTTAGTGTTTTTTCAGAGCTCAGTATTGGCATTTTTCATGGTACTTCCAATATCTACTGTTTGGTGTTGTCAGCGCCACTCTTGATTCCCGCAAAATTGAAATCTAGTTTAGGCATATGCACAGTATACGTCTGCTTATTGCCGACTCTCTCATTCTCATTCATTTGTGATTTTATATTTTATTCAGAATACTGTACATATCATAAATACTGTAATATGCAATGTGGAGTGCTTATTTGCGGTTTATAGTATGTTTATTATCACTTAGGTCAAAAGACCACTTAAGTCGTGGACTCTGGAACCAATGAACAGTGTAGGGTGAGGTATACCTGTATTATTAATTTTTGATTAGTATTTTAATTTAATTTTTATTTGCAATTTATTGCAACTTTTTACTGTGTCAATCTTGTTCAAAATCAGAAATAAGTTCTAAGTTGCAGGATTTGTTTTTCAATTTTGTGCTCTTTATTCACAGTCATAGATTGAGTCTTAATAAAAAGCAATTCGAAATTAAGATTAAAGTAAAATATAAGTAAAAAATAATCTAATAAAGCAAATACTACAACATAGTTTTAGTCAAATAATCATAATTTATATTAGAATACAAAAATAGACACCATATTGTAAAATGACAAGGTCTGTTTACATTAGTTTACAATGAAGTAATACTTGTAATTTTTTTAATACAACTTTTGACCTCAGTTGTACACATTTTGGAAGGATAATATTTATGATAGAAAAGTGTCAATTACATGATGAGTAATGAAAAGGAGGAAGTAGGGGGAAGACAAAGCATAAAGCTGAATGACATTATTTTGCCAATTAATTTCTTATTGTATAGATTTTACTAACAATTAGGAAACTTCTGAGATTACTTCTGTAAACAAATGCAGGCAATGTTTTGATTAGAAATAAATTAAAATCAACTGAACATAGGAGGAACTAATTTGAGGTTAAAATGTAAGGAATGATTTGAAATATCATGTCTTGAAAGCACTACAGAACAAAACCAACATTATCAATAGAAAAAAGTATGAGAATGCACTAAACATTTCTTTCTATAAATTGATTTGGTCCATTATTTTCCTTTTGGTTTTAATGAGCTCTAAACTTAGGTATGTTTTGTGGAGAGTGAAATTTTTGCTATTAATATTTCATGTTCTTTCAAAATGTTTGTATGAATTGACAAACATGAACATGCATTTTCTGCAGTAACCTTGTATTTCTGTTTATCTTTTTTTCCAAAGGATTCTGTTTGTTTTATTTGTAAATTAGCAATAAATTTAATGCCAAGTTTCATAAACTTTACAGTAAAACTATTCTTATATAAATACAAAAAAAAATTTGTAAAAAAAAAAAAAAAAATGACAAAACTCAACTTTATTTATTGTATATATTTGTGTTTTAGCCAATTTTATGTATAGTGTGACTATCTGAAGTTTTTTTTTTTTTTTGCATGAATTTTAACCCTTCCAAAAAAGATTTACCTGTGTATAATGCAACCAGTCACCAAAAATGCATGATTTCTAACCTTTTCAAAAAATTACCTGTGTATAGTGGGACCCCCTGTTTTATTTATTTATTTATTTTTTTTTTTTTTTTTGCATAAAAAAAATGATCACAAAAACTTGCACTATATTCGAGTACAGATTGATTGAAAAGTAACTCACTATTTTATATATGATGGACTCTCCTGGCTTACTATAATTTTTACAAGACTGGAGAGTCCATCAGACATAAAATAGGGAGTTACTTTTCAATTACCTTGTATATATTAAAACTGATCCACTAAAATTAATGATTATTTCATTAACATCCAATACAAAATCTTAATTGAAATGCTAGGAAAACTGGATTTATATGGTATGTTAAACCTGGGAACAGCAGCAATTAAGAGGTGGTTCCACACTCTTCAAAACCTCCTGATCAGAGGCCTTGCTGCTGGATGTAGTTTAACGTCTTACCCAGGACAGTATCCAGCATTCACTGTCATATAGGAGATTAGATATTACATAGCAGTTTATTACTCTTTTCTTTGTTTCTAGAAGACATCTTTCTCTATTTCAATATGGCTTTTGATTTGTGTGTCCCATTTTGTGTTGGTTTGGTTTATTTTGTTTTATGGCATATCAACCTCAATGGTTTATTTAATGCTGACAACACTTTTAGGATAGATTCATGTGAATAGAGTATGTATTCTTTGGTTTAGATTGGTTTGGTTTATTTTGTTTAACGACATATCAACCTCAATGGGTTATTTAATGCTGACAATTTTTTATTGTTGGTAATATTTTGTTTTGTCAAAAATCTGTTTCTGGTAATATATTTTCTTCAAAATTGTATTGTTGGTAATAATTTTTTTTCAAAAGATTATTGCTGGTAATAATTAACTATTTGCCCATACTACCACCCTGGGTTAGGGTAGACCTGGGAACACCAGCAATTAAGAGGTGGTTCCATGTTCCTCAAAACCTCCTGATTAGAGGGCTTGCTGCTGGACGTAGTTTAATGTCTTACTCAGGACGCGGATGTAGTTTAACGTCTTACCCAGGACGCATGTCCCATTTTCTACTGTCTTATTATAATTCTTCCCAGATAGTTACATTTATGTACCTACTTATTCTTATGTCCAATTTGTAGGTTACACCTTGGGCTGTCTCTTGCTGACAAACATATTTTGTCTTCTTACTGTTAATAGTTAGTCCTTTACTTGTGCTTTCCTTTATTAACTTGTCTAACAGTTCTTTCAGTTTCCATTTTGAATTTGCCATCTATACAGTGTCATCTGTTTATCTTGCCTTATGTCCACAAATAACAAATCCTGGTAGGATTTGTTCTTTTATGATTGCCTTGCTGTACATGTTAAATAAATCTAATGAGAAAAAAAATCATCCTTGTTTTTATACCTCTTTCTGTTTTTGGGTACTTACTCAACTTGTTTTCTCTCTGCATGCAAATATTTTTTCTCAGTCAATCTAACTAGATTTTACAAATTTAAGTGCAGTACTAGATTGGCGGCAAGGTCTCATCAATTTACAGTTGAAATGGTTAGATGTAACTGTAAGTTCTATGTTAACAGTTTCTTCTCTTGTGGATGTCTCTTCTGGCTTTTTTGCTTTCAAGTCAACTTTGATCTTCAAAAATTTAAATGCAATGTCAATTGTTGTCTTCTTAATTCTTGTTCTTTTATTGCCCTTTCCCCTTAATAGTATTTTTTTTTTCATATTCTCTAACATTCAGTAATCCTTTGTGTCTTAGTCGCTTTATTGCCTTGCTTGTGGTTAAGGGATTAGAAATAATTATTTTAATACATTTTCCACTATATAAATCCAGTTTTCTTAGCATTTTAGTTAAGATTTTGTGTTGAACCTTATCAAATACTTTTGTTGCATAATCTCTGAAACTTAGACATAGATATTTCTGCATTTCTATTGCTTGCCCTAATATTAAAGATTAACAATTTAACTGTTCTTATTTCTCTTTTAATTTTCATGCAAGCTCCATTAGTTAAAATCTTAATGATAATTTTAGTTATGTGGCTCATTAAACTGGTTGTTCCATAGAGTTTGCCTTTATTTGCTCTTTGGTTTCTTTAGCTTTGCTATGAAGATAGAACTGAAGTCTCTCAGTATTTCATATAGATTTCATTTATTATTTCAGTAATCTTATTAATCCTGAAATTGCCTGAAGTTGACAACATCTTAGTTACAATCTCATCTGGTTGTGTGTCTTTGTTTCCATTCATCTTGGTCAGTGCTGATCTTACAAGTCATTTTGTGTTTTTATGTCTTGTTGCTTTCTCTCTTATGATATTATTGAAGACTAAAGGCATTTGTTCCATTTCTGTAAAATTATTTCTTTTTCTATTTTTAGACTCCTTTCCTCCTATTTTAAGTTGAACTTTCATTAGATGGTCAGAGATGTGCCATCAAATCTTTTATTATATAAATAACTTTACCTTTATTGCACCTATTAGTGTTATTAAAAATATATATATATATACATACATATATATATATATATATATATATATATATATATATATATAATTAATTTCCCCTCTTACATTCTCTTTTAATACAGGTCATATAAAATGACTAATGCTTTTTAATATTTGTTTATTATTGTTTATCTTGTTTATCATGAGGAAGCATGGTGGAGTAATGGATAGCGGCTTGGATTAAAAGACTGGAGAGCCAAGTTCAAATTCCAGTCATATCTATTACTTTCACTTATATGCTAATACCCTTGGAAAATATGAATCCTCCTCTTCTCTCCACCCCCAGCTATGGGTAAATATCAGGACAGACTGGGTTCTATAGCCTTGGGTGGCAACTGGTCTAGGAGAATGAAAACTCTGAATTCAAAATTGGCCTGGAGGCAAAACTTGATGGGCAGATAGGTTGCCTTGCAAGGCTCCAGAGCCCCTATCTAGGGGAAGGTCACTCCAAAATAGAACCTACATCCTTGCATGTAGCTTATCTAGTGGCAACCTTTACACCAGAAAGCAAATGGCGGGCATTGGACAAGTGAGTGGGACTGGGAATGCACAAACCTTTCTCGCTTAAATAAATTTCAGGTGCAGGTCATCTTACGACATTAGATGAATCTTCTACTCTCACAAAAGGACTCCTTGGTAATTTTTCGATGGAATACTCATGCATTGGCTCACAACGCAAGAATCCATGCATGTACACATTATCATAGGTTAAATTATATGACACACTACTGTTTGTTTATATTTCATTTGTAGAAAAATAATCTTTTCTGTCTATCTATTAATTAGCAAAATATCTGTTTACCATTTGAATATTAATTTTGTCATTTTTTGTTTTTTCCAGGATTTATGGCTGGAATCTGTTAATTTTCCATTATACAATCTGTTGAGGCATTGTGACACTTACACATTTCTCTTTGTGAACAGTCGAGGACAAAAAGTAAGTATTTCTGAAACAAGTGTCTATAAATATTTTATTTAATTAAACTTTATTTACTGATCTTCTAACGCAACAGAAAACAATTTTTTTTTTTTTTTTGTTACTTTTAACTTTTGGGGGCTATTTTTTAAAAAATAAGTTTGGTTAAGTACAACTACTTGTAAGTCAATACAAGATTTAGTGGGCTTTCAAATGTTGCCCATTTTTCATCTTGTAACACAATTTGGCAACTCTGCTTAGAAAAGTCTAGAAAGAAAGCTAACCTCAATTAACAACATCTTACAAAATAAATTTATTACATCATAAATTAAGTTTAAAATTGTTAGTGAACGTTTATGCTCATGATTTTCTGTTGCTATCTAAGGTCTTTCATAAATAATGGTAAGGTTATTTTTTCATAATGTCTTCAGAATTCTCCTCATCTACTAAAGTTTTTAAATGTTTAAAAAAAAAATCACCCCCCCCCCGCCCAAAAAAAATGAGGCACAATTAGTGTAAACAAATGAGAATTTTGCAGCTTCTCTAGCAAGATTTACAAGTTAACACACTCTGATTTTATCTCTCTCCAAATATTATTTGCAAAATAACTCTTTTATGCCAATTTATTTATAATTCTCATATAAATGGTTGAAATCTTTGGTTGTTATCTATTCTTCATTAAATTTGGAAGACTGAAAAAATTAAACATTTTTTCCTTTGTATAATTTACTGAATTTCATAAGTTGTCTACTTGCCCTCGATCAAAATAAGTTTTAATAAATTATGTAAAATATTTTTTTATAAAAGCCGATGTTATGCTAAAGTAAACAGATATATATAATTAAGTTATTTTTTTTAATGAATAAACACAAAAGCAAACAAAAAAATTCACTTTATCTGTTTACAAATCGTCATCTGGTAGAAAATCAGATATGTTTAAATTTTTTATGGTTAACATAATTGTAAGTTTTCTTTGGTATAATTTTTATTTATAGAAGTTTAATTTATCTAAAATGAAATTAAATAAAAATAAGACTTAATTATTTTAGGGTTCTGTTTGTGCTTTTAATTTCTTTAACCTAATTATGTTGATATTTGTTTCAAAATTTGCAACAATTTCTTCTAAAACTTTAAGTTAAATAATAGTTTTGGGATTGTGAAGAATATTTTCTGAAGTAGATTTTAAAAAATATGATATCATTTTTAAAGAGTGTAAGGGAAAGTACGAAATTACTGTATTTAAGATTGTTCTTAAATTTATTCATCATTTTAAAATCCAATTGACTTCCTTTGAAATGAATCATTTGAATTGGACAGAATCAAAAATATCCATGATGGAAAGTTCTCATTTTTAATAACTCTGAATTTCGGTGGTCTTTATGTTGAAAAATATGTCTGTAAAAATGGTTAGCCTCAGGTGATTTTAGTTAGGATCTAAAATATTTGACATTAACAAATTAAAAACAAACAAATGGCTTTTTTTTTTTTTAAATAATTAATTTTTTTTTAAAAATAATTAATATTTTTTTTTTAATTACCATGCTTTCTTGTGAAAGATAAGAAAGTAGTTTCCCCATTGCCTTCTCTACAGTTTGAAATTCAGCTTTCCTTCTCTTAGTCTGATTGTCATCCAAGGTGCAATAATCCAGTTTACTCCACTATTTAACCCATAGCTGGAGAGAGAAGATAGAAATTCATGTTTTCCAAAAGGCATTTAAGCAAAAATGAACACAACTGATTTGGCCAGAATTTGAACTTGGCTCGCTGATTTCATGTTCCATGCCAAAAACAATTACACAACCTACATATCCAACCTTAAAAATAATACCAGTTTCAAAAATAAAAGTACTTAAATTTCTTTAGTTCCATTTGATTCTTAGTTATTTTGTCTAAAATGATCCCTCCAAGTTCCAAATAGGATTAATTAAAAGTAGTAATAAAAAATTTCATTACCATAATCACATTAAAAAACATATTTGGCTTAATTTGTGCCCTAATCCATTCCTCAGGTACAATGGGTTAATTTGTTTGTCTAAGCAAGAACTAATATTGACAATGAGTTTAGCTGTTATTTGCTTAATACAAGAAAAAACCCGAAATGACAAATATGAACTTTGAACCTGTATAATTTTGAATTGTATTTTGGACTCCTTTTCTGCTTATAAAAAAAAGCATTGAACATTAATTTGGTTTATTTTAATAAAATCTTTGTATTGTATGTTTGTACTAATACAATTAGAGCATGTGTATATAAGTATAGAGAAAGAATCAACGACTTTTATGTGGAAATAGTTGTATTTATTAGTGAGCCTTTTAAGTTTTTGAGCTGCCATTGTGGAACTTATGCAGAAAATTTGTTTTTTTTTTTTTTTTTTAAATATTCATCCTTTAATATAACCAAAAAAAAAAAAAAAAAGGGAAAGATGGTAATTTTATCTTTTTTATTTTGTTATTAATTTCATTTTAATGTTCTTACTAAGTTGATTTGCTCTCACTAAAAAAGAAATAAGAAATGCTATATATCATTGGACTGCATAGAAGAATTGGGGGAAATATTTTTTATTTTTTTTTGTTTGTTTCATTCAAATAATTTTCTCAATACTTGTTTATTTCTTCCTTTTTTTAAAATCTTTTATACAATTTTTCAAATTATTAATTTTCCAATCAGCCTTTAGCAATTGAGGTATTCACTGTTTGAAATTACTTGAACCCAAATTATTATGATCGTAACACTGAAATTGACTTATTTTTTTAACTTATTTCTACATGAAAAAAGAAGCAGGGTTGATTGTTAAATATGACTAGATTGTAAAAGGGGGTCTTGTATTTTATGTTTAATATCCTCACCTGCTTTTTATTTTAATCTGAGAAGGCACCCATCCAATAACAGCACTTTAAAAATCATTAACACCAAAAATTTAGGTCTAATTTCTTATAGAAACTTTTTATTTGAATCTTATTTATAGTTGCTGTTAATTGCAGGTGTGACAATTGGTTCTCAGCTGCACCAGATAAAATGGGGTATCAAGGTTTCTATTGGCATTAGAAAGTTTTTAAAATGACTTTAATTTTTCCAGTTTTGGGATTTGTTGTGATGAATTGATATTTGTACCTTTTTTGAGAAAACTAAGAAAAAAAATATCAAATGTTGACCTATTCAGATGACACAACTGCTTGTTTTAGAATACTGTCATATTTCACAAAGTACTTGATGATTAGGTGTTTGTTTATTTATTTTTTTTTTTTAAAATAAAAATAGTCAAGATATTTTTTTTGAGAATGAAATCTTTGAGGAGAAAGAAATTTTATTCTTATGAAATTGTGTTTAAGAATATCTTAAATGCCTGCATGTGTCTTGACTTGATTTTGAACATAATGTATTATAGTTTTAAATTTTTATTATTAAGAAAAAACAGAATTATTGTTCTAATTTTTGATTAATCTGTATACAGGTTTCAAAAGATGGGAAAACATTTTCTGTTTGCATTTTTTTTGAGAGGCTATCAAGAATCTTGCATTTTAATGTTTTTTCCATTTAATGTTTGGATAGAATAAAAATAAGGAATGATCAGGAAGTGATGATGGAGTGGGCAAAGGAATAGTACATTTGAGAAAGTTTTCTTTGTATGCAAATAAAATAATTACTCAGTACACTAATACATATTATTTTGCCTTGATGAAAATTAAAAGCACAAATATGACTGAATTAGTTTCTTTTTGTCTAACATGAATCAAAATGAAGTATTGAAATATTTTATTTTTTTAAATACTAAAGTTTACTGAATACGATGCTCGAGAGCCACTCGAGATAGTGTTACTGTTGTGATGAATGAGGTGGTGATAGGAAGTAAAATTTGAGTAAATACTGATATTTGTTTTTTTTCCTCACAAAAGATAACATTTTTATATATTATATTTTATGTTATAAGATAACATTTGTTTTTTTTTTAAAAAATTCATTTGATGTTATTGTTAGGTAAATGGATGACAGTGGAAAAATTGTCTAATGCATTTAGTCCTTTAGATGGACTTTATTTGTTGTTCATGACAATTTCTGATATATAGAAATTTATATATCATATATTCTCTCATGATATTATTGTCAAAATATAAAAAAAATTTTTTTGTAATATTTTTTTCTTTTTTTCTTTTTTTTTTCTGAAAATAGTTTTGACAATTTTTTTCATAAAATAAGTTATGAATTGCAAATGTTGATAAAAATTTCAAGTATAAAAGAATGTCATTTTTTTCTTTCTTTTGTTTCTTATTAAGAAGTTTATTATTATTATTTTAAAAAATTCTTTTTCAGGAAGAAGTATTATCAGAAAGTCAATCGCTTTCTGAGATTAAACCTTCAGTAACATTTTTGAAACTTATAGAGAAAGAACCAAACAGTGAACGATGTTATTCTTTTGATCGTCGAATAACTTCACTTATTGGAGGTAAATTTTCTTGATTTTTCTTTCTTGTCTTTTTTTATTTTTATCCATGATGACAAGAGATAAGATTCATTTCCACATTTCCTCCTGGTGCCTGTTTAAACTGATGCTTTATTTTTTTCCATATTGTAACCATTATTTTTTTAAAGTTCATATTTTCTTGATTTCAGATGAAAACTTTTAAATGTCCTAACAGATTGCAGTGAAATTTTCACTTTCTAAAATTATAGATTAGATATATGGAAAAAAAAATGCATCAGTTTGGAGAATTCATAATTTTTTTTTTCTAATGATTTCATCCAGAGTCTCATAGAAAATTCTATTTGTAGGAGAAGACCCCCCCCCCCGCAAAAAAAAACTTTGGCTTTTCCTTTTCTTTACTGTTATTTAATCACTTCCTGCTTCATTTTAGTCATTTTCTGCATCCACAAATGATTTCCTTCAGGAAGGACAGTTTTCATGTTTACACATTGAATTTTGCAATTTCTTTAAGCAAAAATTTTTTTTTTTTTGTTGTTGTTGCTGTGTTTTTTTTTTTTTTTTTTAGAAAGCTTTGGTACTTTATTTCTTTGTAAGTTGTGAATTGAAGTATAAGGAAAACTGGAATTATTGGCTGTCAAGAAGTTTTAATGATTAACTGCTTATGCTTATTAGAGGTATAATTCATTTTAGAACTCAGTTTAAATTTAATAAAGTAATTATATAACATTGCAAAGAAAGAGTTGATTCTTTACTGATGGATAATGGGAGTAAATTTGTTATTTGATAAAATACTGTTTATTTTTTACTCTTTTATTTCTGATTCTTTTTGGTCTTAATATTATTAATGAATAAACTTTGAAGATTTTTTTTTTAATATCAATAAATGACTCCCCTATTGATGCAATGCAATAACCGGTCACCCCATTAGTAACTACACTATAGGTAGTCAATGGACTACAGAGTCTATCTGAAATCTTTTTCAGCTGACATCCATTAAAAATATGGCACAGAGAACTAGAACAGTCTACCCCAGTGAATGAAATAAGATTCAGTTCGACATTCCAACCGCCTGAAGAAGGCCAAAGCATACAACGGCCGAAATGTTGTAATAAAAATGGTGACAAAGATGAGGACATTAGTCCGAATAATGTAAATGATGTACATAATACCTCACCTCAGAAATATAGACAGATACAGATAATTATTTTTATAGTAAAAAAAAAAAAATTGTTTATATTTGGAGAATAAATATTATTCAGTCTCTTTAATTAATTTCTATATCAACTAAGAGAAAAGAATGGCAAAATTTTAAATAATCTGTAGAAAAAATTCACTATTTAAAATACTTTTAAAATGAAAATTATTATGGTTTTTACACGTTTTGTGTTTGCATGCAAATCTAACAGGCTAAAGTGATAAGCCAATAATCATAGGCTTGTTAATCTATACCTGTTTCTGCAGATAATCTAAGTTAACTCTTAGCTATATAGATTTACATTTGCAGTTTCCATTTAACTGATATTTCATAGTAAAGACATCTAAAGAAAATAATTATTATAATAATTATTAAGAAAATATTTATTTTAAAAAAATATGTAAATATCGATTTAATATGAAGCAATTTTGATGTATGCAAATTTACAAAATAGTCTGCTATCACTTGATCTTTTAAAATTTTTTAAATAATTGAATTTTTTCATTTAAAAATTAGGTCATTTATTACAGTTATGAAAACAAAAATACATGTACTACTATATTATCTACAAACATTTTAGTACAAATCTTTTATTATCATTGGCAAAGAATAACCTTTGACAGACAATAACATTTGATAGTAGAAAATATTTAATAAAATAAAAACAAACATATCTGGGAAAGTAACATTGATATATTCTCATCAAAAGATAGTTGTTGACAAACTTTTGCAAAAGTTGATGTGTAGTAAATATTTATCTTTGATTAAATTGCAGGAAAAACTGACTTTTTGAACCTGATTATTTTTTTATTTTCTCTAAGTTTTTTTTATTTTTAAATATTACTTATGAAGAATTATTTGAAATTGGCAGTAAACTTTAGCTTAAAACAAATCATTTCTCTCATAAATGCTGAGATATCTTTTAATATTGTTGACAATATCTGTCTGAATTTCTGGGATGAGGAGTTAGTTACACTAGTTAAATTCTGGCTATTATCTTCATCTTTATTATTGTTATCACATTGTTTTGACTGTTATACCCTTCAACCATCATCAGGTGTATGTAACTTACAAGGAATTATGAACTGAACTCTTTAATCTATAGGAGAAGGCATTTTATTCTACATGTCTTGGGATATCTGGTTTAGTTCTTATTAGATTAAATAAAGTGTTCAGTTCAAAATTCCCTGTAGATTACACAGATCGATATACATCTGATGAAGGTCAGAGAGCACAATGGCCAAAATATGATAGCAACAACAAAGATGAGGACAATAGTCCGAATGTAAATAGTGTAAATAATGTTGACAATAATTTCACAAATAAATCTAATTTTAATTTAGCTTCAATTAGGTCAAGTACTTTTAGTGATTTTCTTTCACATTGCTTTGTATGTTTCTACTTTCTAATGAAATTAAGTTGAATAGGATTTTTATCAATGTCAGGGAGTTTTATTTTTAATACATTCATAGTTGCCTGCAATTTAACCTCAATTCCAGTCAATTTCTAGAAATCAATTTTGACTATTTTTATTGAATAATTAATTCTATATTATACAATATTATTGGGGACATCACATTTCTTTTGTTTTGATATTGCAATTTTATCTACTACTAGCAGTAGAGCCCGGCGATGTAACAGTAAGAGATAGATCAAGTATCGACCATCATAAAGACTGAAAAATGAAATTGACAAAGATCATTGTTTAAGGTTGATGGACATGCATGTCTTAATTAGTTTTTTTTGTTTTGTTTTTTTTACTCAAACAAAAACATTGTTTACATTTACAATCATTATGAGTCTATCGATTGATGAATAGAATTTTATTATAAACAATTGTCTTGTAAATGGAATTTTTAAAGCATTCTGAATGTAAAAATAAAAAAAAAATGTGCAAGGCAATAAGAAACACTACCTGCCAAAAAAAAGTGAAATTTTGTTGAAATCGGTTGAAAAATGTAGGTAGCCTTTCTCTGTAATCTTTTACAATTTATGATTTTTACTTATTGAATACAGTAAAAAAAATTGCATATTTTGCTTATGGTGATTCATAATTAGAATTCTGATTTGAATATATTTTCCACTCGTTGTTTCTAATACAAAAAATATTAACTTTATTTGGGTTTATTAATTTATTACAAGTACTGTGTTCTTTCCTTAATAATCTTCGAAATATTGTTGTTTTTTGTCTATCAGATTTCTTACGTCGGCATTTTTAAATTATTTCTTAATACTTTCTTTAAAATATAGAATTAATTTCAAATAGAACCAATGCCTTATTGATCTGCCTTGTAACAAATTGCAAAGGGAATTGTAAAAACGGCCCTAAAGTCCGTGGAATTATCTTTCCCTAAAGATAAAGAATTATCTGATTTTTCGATTCGTACAATCAGTAGAGATCGTTAGATTATTGTTTAGGTTGACGGACATGCATGTCTTAGTTTTTTTTTTTTTTTTTTTTTTTTTTACGAATTGGTCAAACCCAAACTCAAACAAAAACATTGTTTTCAATCGTTATGATGAGTCCCCTGATTGAATAGAATTAGATTAGAATTTTATTATAAACAATTGTCTTGTAAATTGAATTTTTAAAGCATTCTGAATGTATAAATAAAGAAAAAAGTGTGCAAGACAATAAGAAACACTACCTGTCAAAAAAAAAAGTGGATGTTTGTTTTATCGGCTGAAAAATGTAAGAAATCTGATCCCATATATGAAGGAACACACACACGCACAAACAACCTGGGTTTTTTAACCCGATGTGAGTTGTCCCCCTTTCATTCTCACGATGTGTCTTAATCGTGTTTTCAAATTGATTTTGTTAAAAAAAACAATTATATTTTTCCCATTTTCGGCGCCGTTAGAACCACCACAAGGTCATTTTATGTAGTCCTGTGAAGTTTTGTTGAAATCGGCTAAAAAATGTAGGAAATCCGATCCAATATATAAACGTTACAGACACACACACACACAATCTGCGTTTTATAATAAGTAAGATAAGATTTCAAGTTTCTTTGAATAATGGCAGTAGTGTAAGGACCAACTGATGCGTTTTTTATTTGCTGCAGAGGATCACATGAGAAAAAAGATTTGAAGCTTAGAAAAAAAATTTTCTTTTTGAAGACATCTGCATTTAATAAGGAAACTGCTTGCAAATAAGTTCTTTTTTTTTTGTTTATCAATCCTCAAATTTGCACTGTAGAGCATTTCTGTAGCTTCTTGGGTTAAGTTTGGTTCTGTCTTTAGTCACTTATGGCCAAAAGTAAATTTTTTTTTTTTTTTTTATATAAAAAAAGTAATATTTTTACTTGTTAAAAGTTGTTTCTTAATAATGAACATGAGAAAGTGTAGAAAATATATATGTAGGTAGAATTTAATTAACAAGAAAGTTAGGTTCATTTTATTAATATTGGATTTTTATTCACATCATAACTCACTTTGTTTCATTTACGCATTTCTTTTCCAGTACGTCTTCATATTTATTTCATTTTGTTTGTTTATCATTTGTTCCTATGTACTTCTATGAATAAACATTGAACCATAATGTAAATGAACATTGAAATATTAACAACATTAACAATACTTTCTTAAATGAATATTGATTAACTATTTATATAATTTTGTTTTTGTTAAGCTATAAAGTTCTTTTGGTCAATTTATTAAATTTTTGTAGTTGGTATCCTTCAATGAATGAAATCAATAAATAATGACATTAGTGAGTGAGTCTCGTTTATTGTTGTTTAAATGTCTCTTCCATTTCATACTTTTAAACGGTATTTGCCTTAGTTTTTGTAAGTGAAGATAATCAATCTTTACACATGATGCA